AATATGGAGCTTTGACTTCTTCGTCTTTTCTGTATCATAAAATATCTTGGTTTCTTAAGTTTTGCATTTTTGTATTATTGGGATTGATCCAGACAAGAGTTTTAGAAATTGAATTCTATTTTTTTCCCTACCAATTCTCTTAAAAATCTTTATAATTTGTGGAAAGACTCGAAGGTCTAGTTGATAGAAAGACGATAATGGCGGTGTTTGGTTTTTAGTGAACGAGAAAAATAAGTAAAATCTCAGTAGTTAGTCACTTAAAAAAGAATTGTGTATTGTATTTAATTCACTTTCAAATTAATTCTTTTATACTCATGGTTGATAAAAATAATGCCTTAACTTAGAAACTATACAAACTACAAAATATTTAGCAGCTGTACAAAAGAACTAATTTTCGTATAACAGGTATATAAATATAAGCATTTTATAGAACATGTATGAATGCGAGATACTGATTGATACAAAAACATACGCAGAACCATATAATGCTAGAAATGACAATTTAAATATATAGCAGACTTTGATAAAGGTCTCACCATTGGAACGGTGGTCGTCGCTTGGCAACATTGGACACTGACGTGAAGGAAATAAAACTCGACGGATTAATTCAGAAAGGAACGGGAAAATCACAAGTAAAATGGATTGAAGAATTGTTCGTCAGGCACACACAATTTAAGTGGTGATTTGATATCTATTTGTGGAGATATAGAGGCTGAAATGGGTGTGAAGATAATTGCGAGATGCCTTTAAAAACGAATATGAGATCCCAGTGCTATTTACGAGTTGTGAATTTAACATCGAAAAATCGGCGACTCCGCTTGCACACAATGGTGAAATCCAGAACAATGTGAGGATAAGAAACTGTGGAATGATGTTTCGTGTTGCTCAACGATGAGCCACGCAATGTTTTTAGGGTCATATCCAGTGGCGTAACGGAAAACATTTGGGCCCCCCTGCAGAGTCAGGTTTTGGGCCCCCAAGTTGGATTTTACAAATGGTAAGTACTTGGCGGCAGTCAGGCTTTGGCCCCCCGCAATGCGGGGGTGTATGTTACGTCCCTAGTCATATCATCATCGTGTCTAGGTGTGGAGGGTTGTAGCATAACCTCTCAGCGACGAGTGGATGATATTATTGGGCCTAACGTGCTCCCTTTCCTTACCTGGAAGCTTTTTTTCAGCAAGATAAGAGGCCCGACTGCAACACCGCATGGGTTATCCAAGGTTATCTACGTCCTCTGAAAACACTATGGCCTTCCCACTCCACAGATATCATTCATATAGACTATTTGGAATCAAATGAAGCATAACCTTCCACTTTGCTACAATAATTGAAATGAAGAAAGTGCCAAACAACAAGAGTAAGCCAATCTGTTCCCGGGACAATATGAAAATATACTATATCTATGATTCAATGATATATCGTATTGTGACCTGTATTGCAGGATGTGCTCTGTTGAAGAGGGTTCGTTTATAAAGACCCTCACAGATTCACTAATTACTTTGTTGTTCCGATTTTGGAATTACTTGTATCATTCACATGTATCTTTGTGTATTGTTTCACTTGTGTCCAATGTTTCCTTGTGGCCGTGGTAGCCTATTGGTCAAGGTAATGGACGGCGTGTCAGTCCGAGTCTAGAACTGTTGAAGACTCACCGTGTAGGGGACGATGCACATTAATTCTGTTGAAGCTCAAACGTCCTCCCCTTGGAGTGGTGTAAAAGGAGAGGGGGGGGGGTGCCAGCTCAGGTATCGTCTTCGTTACTTGACCATGGTTTAAAATTACGAGGTCCATCGTCCAAAACCCTCGAGTATAGCTAAATAGTACAACGTTAATATTCACTCATTAACCTAATGTTTCCTTCTTGATGCGTCATTTGTGTTTCATGTGTATCGATAATGTGAGTGTATTATAAATCTTAGTAAGTTACAGCTTTTGCTTAAAAATTTGGAATCTAATATTGAAGAAATTTTTTCTTTTAAATTTTTGAGAGATACTGTATAATCTATATATATGTTATACCAATAAATTGCATAATTCGGTTATTTCAGAGAATAACTAGGTATTTCATGAAATAACTATACAAGTTAGTTAAAGTAAACAATAGAAGAAAAATTTTATACTTTACCTAGTTTATTCTACGAAATAACTAATGATAAACCGTGAAAACAAAAAACAAAAAGTAAAAAAATTTCAAAGTTTTTTTATAAATTAATTGATCATAAATAGCTGAAGGCTCTCGAAAAATACATTTTATTCCAATTGTGAATGATGATTGATAAATAATAAAGAAAAATCATATATATAATTCATCATTTCTAACATATTGCTAACATTAAACAGAAAGGGGGGAAAAGAAAGTTTTGCGTCTATTACTGGCACAATGAACTTTTCTACTCATTGAACTTCAAGAATATTATAATGCTGGAGTAATCAATATGCACGTGGTACTCTTTTCTGTTTTGTTTTAGCACTTTTTATTTCTGCTTTAAAATTAGTAATTTTTTACGAGTAAGTGCAATACTGTTTTCCTTTGTCCCACACTTATTTAAGAAAGATTCAAATCTCTATTGCATTAAATCTTTCTTAATTATAAGTTGGTCTTTTATTCCTAAAGAAGTCATCGCTTGAAAACAAGTTGTGAAAATGTTTGTAAATAAACCAAAATGGAAACCGCTAACTTAAATACACCTTCTGAATCATAGGTTTCCAACCTTTTTTGAACTGGCGCCCCCTTTTCTAATAAATATTTCTATATCGCCCCCTTTTCTAGTGAATATTTCCACACCGCCCCCTTTCTAGTGAATATTTCTATACCGCCCCCTCCCACTCTAGAGAAATAAGAATCTACATAATACATGGTGGAAACAAGAGTTCAGTTTTAAAAAATATCCTTTTACTAAAAGAATATATTTTCTTAATTTCATTTTTTCTCTAAAGTCCCATTTTTCTTACTTGCGAATCTGAAATATCTATTTCCACAAATATATTTAAATGTGTAATATTATATATTTTAGTCATAGGTAGGATATATTGTTGGACTTGAAACTCTACTGAATTTCTTCATTTAAAAGAGTGGAATAAAAGATTTTTAGATTGCCTGTTATAAAGACAGGCAGGGGCTTAGATGATACGAAGTAATTCATAATAAAAACTATTGCTTTCAAAATAAATATAAATTGACAGTTTCAGCCTTTAAAGAATCACGTTAATTCCTGGTTAACATATTTAATTATATTTCTTGGATAATATACATAATGAAATGCAGTGGATGAAAGATGTTTCCTACCGCTCACAGACAAGGACAACACGTGCACAACAGAAATTAAAATGCACTATATCATTCAATTTAATGTACGTCTGAATGAAATCTAATCTTTTTAAAGTATTTCATCCACTTCCCGTACTACCGAAATGACTGAATTTTCGTACATGTGATATGGAATGATTAAATACATACAAACAACGTAAGGTAAACAGCAACAAAGTTTACTTTTGTTAGTACATAATTAGCGTGTTTTTTAGTCTTTTTTTTGGTTAATCTGCCGAAGCCCCTCCAGGCCATCTCAACGCCCCCCTGAAAGCCTCAAACTCCCACAAGGGGGCATTATCGCCCACGTTGAGAACCTATGTTCTAAATTCTATGTTTAAAAACAACGAAATGAAGGGTACATACACACGTCATTGCAAAGCAGCTACAAGCGGTTCAAAACTGATTAAATGCAGCTAGAATTGGTTCAAAGTACTTTCGAATGTTGTATTTCATACTTAAACGATCAAGAAATCGTTTTTCTATAGAATACCTATTTGATCATAGAATTCAATAAACTTTATGCTTTATCTGAATTGTCCAGTTATTTCATGAAATACCTAGTTATTCTATGAAATTACGGACTTCCCACTTTAACGGTAACATACATTTTTTAAATTTGTTTCCTCCTACCCCTAAGATGTATGATAGATTTGATTATCCTAAAGAGAAACAAGTAATATAAAAAAAAATTAAGTCAAATCCTGTTCTTACTAATGCCTCCTGTCTGACGTAGTCAGATCGAGGCCCACGAAATTCATCATGGCATCGAGCTAGATTGTACGCCTGTCGTTAGCCGTAGCTTTGAGCACCATGCAGGTAATAGTACGATTTAGCTCGGTTCCATCCCAATTTTGAGGGGGAACACCCTGGGAGTGGTCAGGGGCCTCCCACCTCTCTTCCCCTTCCACCTACCTCACGAGAGGACTGGCGGCTCGACGACTATTTAGAGTACCCCCATGCCACGAAGGCACTATACATTTACATACATCCATGCCTTATCCGGGATTCGAACCCAGGCCCTACGGCACAGCAGTCAGTGTCGCTAACCACTACATCGGATGGGCGACAAGTCAAATCCTATTTAGATCAACAAAGAAAATTTTTAATTTAGTTACTTTTTATTAAATAATTACAATTAATATAAATATGTATATACATATGACAGAATCGCTATATTAAGTGGCAAAATAGAAAGCGATTTTCCTTGTATTTATCCATTTTCTTTTCTATATATGGTGTTGGACTATTATCTTTCTTTCTTACTGTTTATTCATAAATTAAATTAAACAAGATATCAATCATTGGCATGGCCAAGTAATTTTAGCGCGTTTTTCACATGTTGTATTTTAATGCAGGTAGATTTAAAAAAAAAAACTTTTTGCAAACAATAAATTTACTAGGTAAAATTTGAGAATATTTTGTTATAAACTAGTGAAATTCAGGAAAATTTGTAGGAAAACTATGGGAAAATTTAAATATGATTCGGCTCATCTAGGGCACAAATGCGACCCAATGCCGAAAACCCGAGGTCAATTGGTTGCTTATTGGCTGAGAAAAAGGTACGACAAAATATGGAACGAAGACGAAATTTGCGTCCTAATAGCGCTTTTGTTCCACTACGTGAAAAACGCGCTAAAAATTCCAATAAAAAAAATAGCATAGTAAAAAGGAATCACATTCTCAAAAATTAGGTCATCCCGGATGGGATTTGAACCCACGACTTTTGGATTAAAAGTCCAACGTGCTACCCATTGCGCTACAGGAACACAACGAGCGATTTTCCTTTCTTTATATGGTGTTGGGCTATTATTTTTGTTTGTTACTAATTATTCATTAATTAATGAATTAATATTTGAAAAACTATAATAACACCAAGTATCACCCTCTACAAGTTTAAAAAAATCGATTTGAACTTGAGTGGATGAATAAAATGTATTTTATTAATGATTGAAAATTTGAACAAGATACATAGGGAGTGAGTGTATATTAACGTCGCACAGTGGTCAGTTTTCCCGATCTGGCACTCGGAAATTATTTCATAGCTTTAAAGCTTCATAATTATATCTAATGATCAAAAATTATTATAATTAACTCTGGAGTAGGCGCGCGCACTCGACACTAACGTTAATGGTCACGTGAGGTGACTGAGTCACCCCAATCCCTATTCATAATTATTTTTACTGTGTGTGATAAAAAATCGTGAATAACTTAATTAAGAGAAAGTATACTTACCTACTTTTAAGGACTCTTAAATTTTTCTTTGAAAATTTGAGAAAAATTATCAACCAAACAGAACTAAGAAATTTCAAATGTGCGTGACTTTAAAAAAGGAGACAAATTCACAGACACTTTTCTCTAACATTATGGGAATGTTATTGGCAGGCAAAACTGTCTTATGCTGTTCAAGTTATTGTAGTTTTACTGTCCTTTGATGGTCGATAAACAGTATGTTGAACTTTTTCTAGCTTATGTCTTTTTAATAGAACGAAGAGTGACTTATGACTTCATATTTTTCCTAATGTTCTTTTGGTAGAATTTGGAAATTTTCCTTTCAACTCAAACGTTTCCTGTTCATCGATTTTCTTATATTTACTTATGTTATGATGATTAATAAGCTTTATTTCAGCAGGTTCTTCCCTTGCTTGATCATTTTCAACTTCCTTCAATACCATTTATTTTTCTTTTATTTTACTCATTTACATTTATAAACAATAATAAGTCGTACAACACAGCAATCAAAACTACTAAGTTGTTCACAGGGGGAAATATCTAGCATGTTCATAGAAAATATCTTGGAACTAAAGTGGTAGCGCGAACTCATTCAAAACAAGTACCTTAAAACTGTAAAAAAAAAAAAAAAAAAAAAAAAAAAAAAAAAAAAAACGTATGTCACGCCCAAAAAAGGAAATATGTTACAAATACATTTTAGTTCCCATGAAGACTGTCTTATAGGAGGATACTGTTAAGGTCATTGGCAATAAATAAAGAGTTTTCCCTGAATTAACGACTTCGTGAGCCTGGGGTGACTCTGTGCCCCGCGCGCTTGTTCTTGGGTTAAAGTAAATTGGGCACTATTTCTATTTTCTAACAAGAAATAAGGCTCTTAGAGGCTTAATAAATTTATGTCAAGCGTGAAATTTATCAAGAATAAATGACCGCTAGGTGGACCTAGTTTTTGAACAAGGATCTAAGGATATTAACAGCAATAGTAATGTGACACATGTGGGAGAATATTTACAAAAAATAGGGTGGCAAGTTAAAGATTAAATTTTAACAGATTAAAAAAATACAATCAAACAAAAGAACGCATCTACAAGCATTAACATTATACATATGTAATAAAATATAATATAGGTATGATGGGAGGGATATAGGAAGGAGTGAAGTGGGCAACATTTAGTGTGCGTGATTGTGTGGGTAGGAAGGGTTTGGTAGTATATGAGCAGTAGAGCTATTTATTCCATGATTCCGAGTCACTAGCATTATATTAGCAAGACTTGTGTTGACGTGCCCTATTATGAAGAGAAATAAGAAGGCGAAACCAGCGTCGCAAAAATATCAATGACTAACACTGAAAAAAATCATAACTTTGAGAGTTGCAGGAAGTAGCACCTAAATTTGGTAATAAATTAAAGGCCCATATCTACTCTATATGGCTTAAGTGTTATGTTGATCAATCCGTGTCAATTCAAAAATTTCTAGTCAATTAAACACAAAAAAACGACATGCGTTTGTGAGAATTACGTATTGTGCTAAATGTTACGTTTTTCCAATTTTGAATTAACTTTGAACCTAATTTGAGAGTCAAATAAAGAAATTATTTACCCATAACGTGTATTTTTAAAGAAAAATGCCAAAAGCTAGAAAATCTTGTTCAGACGAAACGATAGAACTTCCGACTAGAAAATGAGGCTCACAGGTGTTCCTCGTAGCCCTAACAAACCCGATCTAAACCGTCGACTGTTGGAGATTTCCAATCGCGTACTGAACAAAACTGATTACAACACGGCTAGAGGTCCTATGAGGGCTATAAATTGTGGGTTGTTGTTAAGTTTCGCGCAATTTCATTTTTGGGGTTTCCGTGTTCCAGATCGGGAAAACTGACCACTGTGCGTCGCACTGTTTTAGCAACACAAGGGCTTTTGGCGACGGTCCGCGTAATTTTGAACCATGGTCAAGTGACGCGGACGGCACCTGAACTGGCACCCCCTCTCCTAACTACCACACTAACGGGAGGACGTTTGAGCTCTCGACAGATTTAACGTGCATCGCTCCCCTACACGGTGGTTTTTTAGTGGTACTGGGATCGAAATCATGACACGCTAGCCATGATCCGATGCCCAAACCACTTGGCTACAGCGGCCGATATATAGGGAGAGTGTGAACTAATAGTAGAAATTGAAAAACAAATGTTCTAACAATTTATTGCACTACCTTTTTAGATATGCATGTACTATGTACAACCATTGTAAAAGCTCCCCATTTTACTCTTTATGCAATAAATTAAATGTGATATGTATATCTCTCTTTTGAATATGATTCGGTTATTTGGTAGGCTCTACTACGAGTTTAAAGGTAAAACCAGCTTAAAAATTACCCCTTTTCTTACTAATGAAGTGTTTATATGTTTTGAGTTCTCTTTTAATTTTTTACACATCTGCTGTATTTTAATCGATTTAGTTTGTTCAAATTTCTTAGATTGTTTGAAGAATTTTAATTATTTAGTTTAATTATATGGTTTAACGGTGTTGGAGATTTTATTTGAAAATAGTGATTGCAAAAAAGTTCATGATTGCTTATTGGTTTTAGTAGTCTAAGATTTTGAGGATTTATAACTTTTGTGATTGCACATCTGTATAAAATAGATAAATAAATGTTTAATCCAAAATCTTCTTACTTTCCACAATCGGCAACTTAAATATTTTTGGTGTGGAAAGAAATCACGTAAGCAATTCCGTTTCCTTTTTTTTTAAATCCCAAACTTAATCTTCTGTTTTCTTCTTCGTATGAGTGTTTTTCGTGTGCTTGATTTCCCTCATCGGGAGTTGTAAAAAAAAACACACACACACACGCATTACATGCTACCGAGGGATTGTTTTGGGCCAAAAAAACATTCCCAGAATGCCGGTTGCTTAGCAACGAGAGCCACTGGCCCACCTGACACGTATCGTTTCAGAATCACGTTTGTTGCGTGACGAGCCGTAAAATGAAATTCATACCCTGCACATATTCATATTCTCTTACTGTGAAACAAATAGAAAAGTATTGTGCGCCATCAAGAACTTTTCAATCGATTTTCTTGCAAGGTGAAACTTTTGCACTCAGTCACTGGAGATTGCTGCGCCATCTTTCTTCCGATGAGTTACGATCAGAGAGAGAGAAAATACTTTTATTTGAAAAGGGAAAAAATGTGATTTACTGGGGCCTTCTTTCTTTGCTTTTTATGGCTGGTCTAGGTCATGGACTCGTAGCAGGTATGTCATGAGTTTGAGCCTAGTACTGCTGAAGACCCGCCGCGCAGAGGGGGGCAGATGCACGTTAAATATGTCGAGGCTCAAACGTACTTCCATTGATGTGGTGTGGAAGTTTGGAGAGGGGGGTTGCCAGCTTAGGTATAGTCTTCGTCACTTGACCATGGTTCAAAATTATTCTTCGACAATAGTCCTCTTGCAGCTTTATAGTGCGACGTAAATATAACTATAACTCGTTGCTTTTAATGTTTACGAATTTAAGAAAAAAAGTATTTTTAGAAAAACTTCAATTAGCTCTGAGATTTTTTATTTTTGGGATTTTCCAAGAATAAAACATCCATTTTTAAGATTTTTTTAGTATCTGATTCAAACTGATTTTTTTTCTGTGTTATTAAAGAAAAATTAAATTTGAAAAATTCTATGCATTCTGTTTTTTAAAAAAACAGGGCAGCATCGGTTTTACTTCTTTCGAATTTCTAAAGCCGTAATTTTCCGGGCTATGATAAATTAATCTCTTCTTAAACAAGGCTTAATAAAAAAGTCTGACAAATTTTTTTTTTCTTTACCCTGTATTTGCTTCTGGATGTAAAGTTCAAGTTAATAATTTGTCGTAGGAGAGAGACACTTTTATACTATTTCTTTTCCATTAACAGCTGATTTTTGCCGATTTAACAGCCGATCATTTATTTCTGCCAGCTCAGGCGTCCTTTTTGTCACCTGTCTGTAGCTCAAATTACTAAGTTATTTGCTTCTTAGTGTGTTAATAAACCAGTATAATCATCATTTACTTTTTTCAACACTAGACAAATCGGATCATCTCACTTAATATTTCTGTTATGAATTGTTAGCATGATACTCTTGAAAATTAATAATCAAGGATCAATCTTTTAACGTTGCTTTAAATGTTTCACAAATCTTACGTCCTAGGTTTCTGAAAGCACTGACTCTTTGTTTTAAGTGCAATCAATCAAAACATTGTTTTTTTGTTTTCTTTTAGTTAATGAAAAATTATAAAAGAAACGTATTTCTCAAAGTACATCATCATTTTTTAGACGTATTTCTAACGCATTTCTAAAAACACACCAATAATGTTGTCGATGGATATTGTAAACAAGATATCAATCATTGGCATGGCCAAGTAATTTTAGAACGTTTTTCATATGTTATTTTATACAATAATGCAATTAATGAACTTTTTGCTAACAGAAAGTAGTACTGTACCACTCCTCTAAATGTACTACTATTGAGCTGAAAATAAACAATGACACAAATCTGTATCAGTACTATAAAAAAGC